AGATATCTAAAATACTTTTTTTTAGGTATTTTTTTGTCATCAATCTTAACTACTTCATCATTTCTACTCGTATTATTGCTAAACCTTTATTCCATATATTTTGTCTTAGTCCAGCTAATTTTAAAACATTTATATTCTAAAGCATCCCTCTAAAGTTCTAATTGACGACCCAAATTGAGAGTATTTGTGAAAAAATGAATTAGACAAACAAAAGGGACCTCAACATAACATATCAAAACATTGGAACTATTTTTTAATTCCAAAAAAATACAGGATATTTAGAAATCTTCCTCAAAAATAAAAGGAAAAAATATGTCGGTACGGTATAAAATTGTAGTAATTATGGACCGATCCCAAAGTACAGGGAATTTAAGGGGAGATCCACTGGTCCGATGTTTATAATATCGGACATGTTCTTTTTTGAAAGCGCCACCCGCCCTTTTTTATCTTTTTCCAAGTTTCCCCAATGTCCAATAGTCACAACAGGATTGAATATTTCTTTTTCCTTATTTTGTTTGAGGTGGAAGCTATTGATATTTCAAACTTCCAAAGATTCTCGATAGAGGATGTTCGATATTTGGAATATCAAACTATCACCGGCTGTAGGCTATCCGATATTAAGAATATTGGACCATGTTCTCAAGCCTATCCGATATTAAGGCTATTGCACTTTGTTTAAAAGGAGGTCCAATATTACAAACAAACGGACAATAAATTGGGTATATTGCACTCCCGACGGTTTGGATTAGGGCTTTCGATCCAGTTCTTAGAGCAAGCTATGAGCAGGGCAATCGAACTGCTCAAGCATGGCGAGAACTAGAGCAATGGAGCTAACTCCCAAATACCCTGCTCAAGCATGGCGAGAACTAGAGCAATGGAGCTAACTCCCAAATAATTATCTAGTGATTCTTAGGTGGATCCCAAAATTTCATATTCTAACAATCCTTGAAAATAGTTCTTTTGCCGGGATCAAGTATGTGTACGCTCCAACAAGGAGCACGGTATATGTATCTAAGTACTTGGTGTCAACTAAAATCTTTCCTCTATGTTTCCTTCAAGGAAAAAGTTTATATATAGCCAAGGCTCGAAACAATCAAACTAGAGCCCACCTCAAGAATTTCAGTAGAAGAGGTTGTTTTGATGCTCAAATATTCTCAAATTGATTATCCCAACATCAAGATGCATAGAGATGAGAAAAAATTGGATTTCAAGTTTTGGAAATAGTGTATCTTGTAATGTATATTTCGATTATCAATTTTCAATATTTTCAAGTTTTCATAGATCTACTCGATCAACAATATGTTGGAAGCTTTTAATTTTATAATTAAAAGATGAAAATATATTTTAAGGTTATCACAAAGATTTTCAATATTAAAATCACATTTCTCGACATTATTTGAATATGTGCTTACTTTGATTCTACACTTATATTTGTGTCAGATGTTGAGATACCACCTCACAAAACCTACATATGAGTGTCATAAGTTAGTTTAGGTAATATAGAAGCGAGGGGGACTTTGACCAAGAAATCATTTGACCACATGGCTATAGAATCTATTATTATTGGCCATGGCGAGCCCTTCATGTGAGGGCATGGGGTGCTGACAAGGCCATGATTCACGCCTCACCATTGCATCGACATGGCATGTGACTCCATGTAAACTCACTGGTGCAGTAAATTGCAGTAAATCCGGTTCATAGGCATTGAAAAATCGGTAGCTTGAACCGGAATCGGTGGGGGCAAATTAGTTTTACATAGCTCCGTAATCACTTGATTTTCTAGGGTTTTTGTTTGAAAACATTTATGTAAGATTCACACTTTTAAATAGTTGTTTTGATGATGGAAAAAACATCTGGTTGATCATCTTGAAATCAAGATATATAGACATAGATAAAAGAAATATTTCAAGTCTCAAAAATAGTATATCTTGTAATACATTATCTAGGTCATCCATCTTCAAGATTTTCAAGTATTTGTAGGTATGCTTGATTTAAAATATTTTTGAAATACAAAATTTTATAATTAGAGATGAAATTAGACTTTCGCGCCATCTTAAAAAAAAATTTACACCTAAGTTTCTCATTGCAAAATTGAGAGATATTATGAGGGAAATTTATTGTTAGTGCTATATTTAGCGATCAAAAAATAATACGAACTGTCAGCTGCTCATACTTAGCTTTTTTAATGAAACTACTCACACCTTTGTCATGCCTAAATAGTTGAAGGAAAAGTCCTTTATGGGTTGGTGGTTGCACTCCTACATTTGCGTCCCCCGAAGCATCATTCATCCATCTTTGAGATGGATGCTAAGTGGCGGTCGTTTGAAGAAAAAAAAAAACCAAACGGGGAAAATTTTCCTCTAAAAAATATCAATTTTTAGCTTTTAAAATTTACTTTTTTAAAAACATATTAATGATCCCAATATTAGAGATTTTATATTTATAAAGAATTAAGTCTAAAATCCACCTTAAAAATAGATTATGTAGAGGGGACACAAAGATCGGAAAACACTACGCAACGTCTATAGGCGAAAATGAACAGTGATTTCATTTATATTCATCACCGTCCAAAGTTCATCGCACGATCACAATTGTCCGGTAGTGTTTCATGTTTCATTTTTTTTTGTTACAAATCAAAATGATCTGAAATTTGAAGCTTGTGTTCATCAAAAATAGGAGAATCTAATAAAAATATAAAAATAATAATAATTCGCAAAATATAAAATAACTAAAATACCCCTAAAAATTTACAGGGATATTTTGATCAATTTATATTTTACGAAATGTGTTTTTCATATTTTTATTAGGTGTGCATCACTAAGATATACACACTCTCCAAATTTCAGATCATTCTGATTTATAAAAAAAAAATGAAAAAAATGAAACCCTATCGGACAATCATGATCGTACAATGAACTTTGGACAATAATAAACATAAGCGAAATCATTATTCATGTTTGCCCATAGGCGTCGAGAGGACTTTTCCATTTAGATATGAGTCCTAAGACCCATAGAACTGTATCTATAATTATTCTTTCGCGAGAAAAATTAATCACACTTTACAAGTAATGGGAACAATACCTAATCCTTGTACATAGAAATCCAAGGTTCATCGCATTCCAGTGGATGAAAGTCATAGAAACATCCATTCCACATTCCAGAGTCTGCAAGTAATGGGAACAATACTATAATCCTCTCCAGGTGTCCGAACGGCCCTAAATGGATGGACAATGGGGAGAGAGATTACTCCAAAAGTGGGTCCCACTACTTACTCTCCAGGTATTCGAACGAACGGCCCTAAATGGATGGACAATGGGTGAGAGAGATTACTCCAAAAAGTGGGTCCCACTACTTATCTATCAATAATAATAATAGAAAAAGTTTATATAAGGCTGCAACCTCATCATTGTCAAATATAGCATACTCTCCATATTATAATAATGAAAAAAGTTTATCTAAGGTTGCTATCTTAAAATGTAGAATTAAAGATGCACTTCAAAAATCCATTGGAAAATGTTGTTTTAATGCGGAAAAACCCTCTAATTGATCATCTTGACATCGAGATGTATGAATATCAATCAAAAAAAAATTTATTTTGAGTCCTAGAAATAGTCCATCTTGCAACACATTATCTATACCATCCATTTACAAGATTTTCATATGTTTATAGATCTACATGATTTTAACTATTTTTTAAGTTTAAAAAATTATAATTAGATATGAAAATAGATTTTCAAATAACCTTAAAAAAAATTACACTAAAATTACTTGTTATTATAAAATTTAGAGGTACGCCTTAATTGGATTGTTTAAGGTTGCAACCTTATAGAAATGACACCCTTATATAATAGAATCGTATACAATGAGACTATTTACCTTAAGTGCAAAGAGGTCACAATTACTTATATAATAGGATCGTATATGATATGAAATCTGATATTTTAGGCATATTATAAAGTTCGAGAAAAATTCTTTTGAACATTGAGTTTGATTAATGGAATAAATACAGCCGCACAATTTCACATCCAACTGTCCACTTCATACAAAAGGTAAATGGTCTCATTGTATGCTTGGCCATATATAATACTCGAGCTAAGTCAAAGAAGCGTCGGAGTTGTTTTAATGAAGCAAAGAAAACCACCAAGACACCCATATGATCACTTAATATATTTGGTTTTGGTTTGGGACGTGGCATCAATCTTAACCAAAATAAGGCATACCAAGAAGTCCTATTGAAAGATGTACAATAGTGCTAATAATCTCTAAGATGGCCTGAAAATTCATTTCCACGCCTCATTATGGATGTTAAAGCTAGAAAATGGTGTGGATCAAAACAAATATAGAGGCTTGAAATTCTTGAAAATTGATAATCGAGATAATGTGCAATATTTTTAGGACCTAAAATCCTTCTTTTTTATATCTACACATCCTAGGGTCGAGATGATCAAATAGAAAGTTGAGTCGCTTAACTGAGATTTTTTATGTTCATCTTATATTTTTGCAATACAAGGTTGACACCTCATATAAACTTTTTCTTTTAGTTTTTAGGGTAAACTTTTTCTTTTAGTTTTTAGGGCAGTTTATTGTTGAGAGTTTCAACTAGTTTTTGGGTGTTCTCATTGGTAATCTAATTTCAAAATAATTAATACTCTTGTTCTCCGGTAAGCCCTGTAGGCGACATAATGAGCAATCATTCATTAAATGTTGTAAAAAATGAATGAATTGCAGAAAAATGGTCAAACGCTTTCTTTTTCTTCAACATTTTCAGATCCCATGAAATTTCAATGAGTTTTTTAAAACTTTGGTAACAGTAATATAGAATTTCGAACTTCTTGTCTTTTTTTCACTAGACTGACTACCATCATATTTTTGGATAGTAGGTAGCTAGTCCTTGGTTTGGAAATCGAATGTCTAAAACCTTGGAATCATTTATTCATATATTTTCTCTTTGATTGATATCGCCACCGCTGCTAGATAACCATGGATTATATAGTAAGCATGGGTAAAAGGAAGGATGTAAACCAGCTTTAGATTAAACATATTTACAGTTAGTATTCCACAACAGAATTCAGCTATCGAAGATGTCAAGATCCAAGGGACCGAAAAAACATCTATCTAATTAATAGTATACTTTTGAATGCCTAAAAACTTTTGCAAAAAAGAAATCTCTCTCAACCTTGACAATATGATCCTGGGATATCAGTCTTATCTCTAACTGTATACCGGCCTTCTCCTACATTCATTCCAGATGTCTGGAGCCGCTTCCGTTTCCTTATAAGCTGCACCGCAGTGTCTATATCATTCTTCACCTCCTCAGAGTCAGGCTGCACATCCACAGAAGAAGAACCAGAAGCATTTAGGAAAGACACTTTATACTCCCTAGAAGAAGAACCAGAAACAAAACTATAATAATCAATGAATCGTGATGGTGAAGGTTTCTACCTTGATTTCTAAAGCCCTGTCAAAACTTTTGAGAGAGGCTTCCGGCTCTCCAAAATTCAGCTGAGCTCTTCCAAGGGTAATCCACGCCTGTGAAAAGCGATGTTATCATTGAGTCAAAAGTCTAATGCCCAAAGTAAAGAGAATTTGTAAGGGACCTTCCATGCCCCATATTACTTCAGTAGAAGATGCACATTTTATAGGTACCAAGTCCAAGATAAATAGCATGTCTGAAATAGATGGTATGGATCCCCCATTGAAGGTTACGCAAATAGAAAAAATATGTTTACAAAGAACCAAAACAAAACTATAGCTCAAAGGCACCAAGTATAACCAATTTTATGCAATACGTCCATGATGGATGAAAGCATGTATTACACAAGTGATCTCAATGAGCCATGATGATAATGAATGCAAATTGAACAAAATAAATCGGTAGGTCTTCCCACTCTCAACAGATATCTCTCGCATATCAGACAAAACAGTACGTTATACTATAATAGTAATTAATGAAACGATGATCCTCAAAAGCATGAACAAACTGAAGTAGGTTTGCATTGTGGGAACCAGTAAGAATGGACTAGAAAATGATCAATCACATTGTGGCATATATATAAATTGTTACTACCAAACTTTTGTCACGTTAGACTCATACGGATGTTCAAGCATCTACCAAACATAATTACAAAGAGATGTCCTGCTACAAACAGAACTCAGTTTATGCTCTATTTGCCCCAAAACAAAAGCAAAAAAAAGCAATAAGGAAGTATTTACTTATGCTCTATGTATACCATTAAAAATTATATTAATAGTAATAAATGTCATAGCCTATCCCCTCAGGTGAAAAATGCATGTGTTAACTTTTACAAATGGTATATCAGTACATGCACCATGTTTTAGTCACGACTTTCCTTTTCTCTCTGACAGAACATTGTAGCCACATATTAGCCATGCATCCGAGTTATATAAGAAAAGTACTTTCTATCTTTTAGTTCGTCATTTGACAAACAGTGGCGAAACAATATGGACAGATTATTGATTGTTCCTCCCTTTCATCAAAGAAGGCATCATATTAACGAAAAGATGTTCCTCCAAGCAGCACATAATACGGGGCATCTGAAAGACAAACACCCACTTCAATGAGGCTCATTGTCTAGCCCTGTCACAAAGCACCAGCCATAGGAGAGGAGCCTCCAGGCAGAATTATACCAATTCAAACTTGCTGGATCTCTGACTTTGAAAGTCCGGAATTCAAGATAAAATAGTGTTGAAATCAATCAATCTCATCTCAATTTTCTCCAAAATAGTCACGGAACAACTGGCAACTTATACTTCACTTAAGGGCCTCCGCAATCAGATAACAATTAGGAAAATCAATGGTGATAAATATTTTAGATTCATTTTAGAAATTCTTGCATATGATTCACAAAAAAGATGAGGATATCTCCAATAAAACCAACTTAAAATGATTCATAATTTGCCCCAACGAGGGCCGATGCAAGTTTCATTCATCTTCTATAAGCCAGCTTCTCCAAGGGTCTCGAAGTTTTAGACTTTCCAAAAGAAAAAGTAAAAAGGATTACTATGAAGCATTTTGTAGCATGCTTAACACCCAATGACTGGTATTCCTCAAATTGATAAGCAGGAGCATATATCTAATAATCCAAAAACCTAGTTTGTTACTGAACGTGAACATTCCTTTCTATGACTCAAAAACACAAGAGAAGAAACATCATAAATGGGAGTCTTTTTAAATAAATTGGCACATCCAAACACCCATTATGTGAAGTCACAAACTTAACAAACACTTTCTATCAACGTAGCATCCCAATGAAGGACCCTTCCAGGGATTTGGCTCCTGGCTCAGTTGATAGGGCATTAAGAGCCACAGTGCAACTTTCAA